CGTTGGTCTTTTCGCGAGTCGAAGTTACATTTTAAGTTTATTAATGAAATGGAGACAAGCTGAAGCAGGTTTGTTGAGATCACAGATGAGGAACTGATCGAATTCGTAGAAGAACAAGAAAGTACGAATATAAAGAGGAAAACAGCGTATGTGTTATTCAAGAATTTCATTCAGACATCAAACCCTAGCTTGCTTTGTTCAACATCTCTTCATGAGTTTTCACCACAAGTCATGAACGACCACCTTTCGAAATTCATCTTTGCCGTTAGAAAAAAAGATGGCTCAGACTATGGACCAACAAGTTTGAGAGGTTTTCTTTCAAGTATCCAGAGATATCCGAAAAAACAAAACTCTCTCAGTACGGCTTCATAATTTTTATTGACGCTGTGTTTAAAACTACAATGGCTACTCTGAGAGCAAAACAAAAGGAAATTAAAGCCAAGGGATTGGGAAGCATGCATAGGACATCGGATAGCCTAACAGACGAGGAAATTGAAAAAGTGTATGTTTCCCAATGCTTATGGTAGGTGGCTTTTTCGTCTAATTAAAAGTCTTTCTTTGTCTTGAAATAACTCGGCCTTGTTCACCACTGATACAGTATAAAACGCAGGGGGAGCCCCCCATGTCCCTCATTATTCACAGCGGACAAGGATTGTTAATTAACTTTTCTTACTAGTATCCCGGCCCGGCATTGAAGGACGAGATGTAGAACTTAACTGTCTGACTTTTTGTTCGCTAAGCGGACCTCACAGCAAAATACAATACAATAGTTTATTGACACTCCCCTGGTGGGGCTTTTCAGTGACAATGCGACTAAAAAAAAAAAAAACTAATTAAGATAAGAGAAGTAGTTAACAATTCGATTAAAAGGAAAAATGCGGTGAACAAAACAATATAAACATACCTATTTAAGAATTAATCGTATCATAAATATTCTCACTACGTACTATACAATATGCATATTTTAAGTTAAAATAAAATAAGATGCTAGTAAGATACTAAAATACTATCATAACGTGCTATTTAAAAAGTCAGTAATCAACTTTTTTTTCAGACAAAATTTAAAAGTAGAAATCGATTTTGCAGTTTTAAGAGTACTGTCTAGATTGTTCCAAATGTGCACCATGCGGTAGTGGAATGTTCTCTGTCCGGTACTCGACTTATACAAGGGGATGTTTAATAATTGGCAACTTCGAGTCACGCGCCCGGTGACCGCAATTCTTGTTGTAAACTGATCGCTGAGGTAATGTGGAGCTTGACAAGTCATGCATTTAAATGCCATGAGAGCGTCGCGGAAGAACAGCTTTTGTTTAATTGGAAACCAACCTAGATCTCTTAGTGCGGGGTTATATGATCAAATTTCCTGGTACCTGTAATAATGCGCGCGGCAAAGTTCTGCACTGACTGTAGTCTACAGATATTTTTGTTCGAGGTGTTCGACCACACTGTGGAACAGTACAGTAATTTGCTAAAGACTAGGGCATTTATTACTGTCACCAGTTGGTTACGGTCAAGAACATGTTTAACCCGACTGATTTGTGCGAGGCTTGACATACAAGATGACGTAGTTTTTAGAACATGGTCATCAAACGTTAGTTGCGGATCTAAAACAATCCCAAGATCTTTGGCCGAAGATGTAAGGGCGAGATCTTTTCCTAGAAGAGATATTTTGAAGTCGGGGAGTTTGGCAAGTAGTTGTCGGCTTCCAAAGACTACGAGTTTTGTTTTGTCAGGATTTAAAAGTAGAAAATTGTCAAAACACCAATTACGTATTAAAAGAAGGTCGCTATTTAGATCGTTCATAGCAGTCGGACAATCACGCATCTTAAAAGAAATCTGAAGTTTAGTGTCATCTACGTAACATTGCGTTAAACAGTTTCTAGGAACAGAAGGTAAGTCGTTAATGTAAATACTAAAAAGAAGCGACCCAAGAATGCTTCCTTGAGGAACACCACTATTTAAACGCAACGAATTCGAGAGGGTCGAGTTAATACGCACGACTTGGTGTCTGTAGGTCAGGTAGCTAGTAAACCACGCGAGAGCGTATTTAGAAATACCGAGATGTTGTAGTTTTAAAAGGAGAATATCATGATTTATACTGTCAAATGCCTTACTCATGTATGGCTAAATTAGAAGTTGGTGCGTTTCGATCAGAACTAATGAGCGGGTTTAGTATATAAGACGTTTCACAGGAAAAAAATCTTACCTGTTGGGAGCTCGAGTTCAGTGGCTGCGAAAGTTATTTATGGCGGCGATGAGACGAACTAAACCAGCTGATGCTAGAACGAAAGAAAAGAAGAACAGTAGTTTCACTTTCAGTGCTGCAAATTTACGGTACAATATAAAATAACGGTATCCTGGGTCATTCAGTCCTGTGGCCCTGGTCTATGGTAATACGAGCAAGGAAGGCGCTACTGCACAAATTTTGGCAGTTTTAAAAGAATCTGATTTAAAGATGTGGCTTGACAACCAGCCGTTACCTTGGTTTTTCGGTAGTATTGTTACACTATTAGCTTTTCTGAAATTCATTTTGGCACTGTTGAGTCAAAATCGCTGTACCACTGTCTCGAGGGCAATCGTATGATGAGTTGAGCTTTGTGGATATGGCGATACGTGACTAATTGCCAGTTATGATAAGTTAAGCGGAAATATAAATTGTTGTTTTAAGACATCGCTTTTTTGTTGTTGAAAGTACAGAAGTTTCACATTACCATGTTAGTTTTAAATGCATTTTCAGCCATTTCAGAGGAATTTAAGTCCAAATAAATTTGTTAGACTTTCTGGGGAGCATGCCCCGGACTTCCCTGCTTGACTCACGCTAACCCTTTTCGAAGTGGGGCCCCAACTGCAAACTTGCTGCGCGCCCCTGTTGGAAAGAGCCCTTTAACAAACGCTAAATTTACATACCCTTGATATCCTAACATCCTGAAAGGAGGTAAAACTCACTGTTTCAACAAAGTACGAAACACTACCTTCTTTGTGCGGGTAGAATGAAGGAAAGCCTAATTATATCTAGATACAATAAAGCTTGACTGTAACTTCGAGAAATGTGTAACAAATCATTCAAAACTATAAAAACGAAGACAAGCTTCTTTGTTTTTGTACGAACGTTTAGAAAATGCCCTAATTTGCATAATTTTCATGAGACCTTCGACCAGATTCTCACGGCTTTATTCAATTTATGTAGGACAAGGGATCCATTCTCGAGTTTCCTATTCTGTTTCCTATTTTTTGCTAAAACGGAGTCTCGCTGGAAATTTTAAATACTATTTTTAAAAATAGTTTACTAAGAACGATTTTTTGACAAAAATAAATTCTGCTTTGAAAAGTGTTTTGAACTGGTGTCGGATTCTGACAATCGCATTTAGCAGTTTCAGTACTAGTCATGAAGGGTTTCAGTGTTTCGGTCGATCGCAACAATCTCACAGGAAACGGTTTACGGCTCTCTTAATTCCTATCTCGTTTTCCCCCTTTTCAATGAACACCATTAGACAAGTACTTCATGAAGAAGCACGGCAAGACGGATCTTACCTCAGCCAGATGTTTCCAAGTTGATTTCCCTAACGATGAACAATATTTGAAAGCGATCGTCAAAACTTTTGTTGAAACTTTCTGCGCCAAAATACAAGGAAGGGGATTTGCCGGCTTTACTCTTCAGAGAAAAATTGCCAAATTTTATCTGATGAGTGGTGCACCAGTTGTGTGGTCCGAAATTAGGGGCGCTTTCCATTTGTTAGAACTGACCGGCAAGATCATCGCTGAAGCTGTTATTTTGACAATGAAATAGGCTTTTCCCAAGAGTTTTTGCTGAAAAACCATCTCTTTCGTGCATAGTATTTAGGATTTGACTGATCTGGTTGGATAGTTTTGATCAAAAGTGAAATTCTCGTTACTACGAGAAGGGTCTGGCCGGTGAGTTCCGACAAATGGAAATGTTACACGAGTAGAAGACCATAATACATTACAATGACTAGGTTAAGGATAGACTAAGGTGCAGCATAATAATACAAAGACAACTTCGTTTGCTAAGACAATTAAAATCTAGTTTTGTGAATAACGGCCGAAGGGTCGCAGAACGCAAAATCATTCTTCTCCGAGTGCCGAGTAAATCAAGTTTCTTTTCAGTTCACCCTGTGCAAATTACCGTTAGTCAGTTCATTCGGCCTTCGGTGGCCCTTAACATTCTGAGAAATACCCCTGGTGTATCAGTCATTTCTAATGACTTCAAGCAGTGTCGGTCGAAGGAAGAAAACATGGAAAATCGTCACAGTACGCGCTTAATATATTTATAGCCAGATAATTAATATACGTATAGCCAGATAGCTTTTCGCGGCCAAAAATGACTGAACGGAGACACATACAAGTTTTTTTTTAGAGAAACGACGTACTTGCTTAGTAGCGCTCGACTGATGGAAATTTTTTTCTCCAATTTATCTACTAAACTATTGAAAATACTGAGTTCCAATGATGACGTAGTGTTAATGAAGCAAAAGATTTTGTGCTGATTTAATGAACTGTGTCCATGCCAAGAGAATTTACTTCACTGTAATTTAAGCTCTAATAAAAAGTCTCTTTTAAAAAATATAGTTTATTTAAAGGTAACCGTCGGGGTGGACCGCTTACTTCAATTAATTATTCCTTACTAGTTTTGAATTCGTCTGTTGGGTTTAAGTTCTCAGTTTCGTCGAATAGAGAGAAGTGTGATGTCACGTTACCAAGGAAGCAAAATTTCTGGATCTCAACAGTTTTCTTGACACATCTAGGAAAGATCGAAGCGACTCTGCTAGAAGGATAATTAGAAGGCCGAACTGCATCAAACTCTTTCGTTCCAAAGCGGCCGGAGTTCCATCTTGTTCGATTGAGTTCGAAAACCGAAAGTTCAAAGTGATACGCCTGGATGTCAACACTTCAGAAAGAGGCACGACTGTACGGATCTTACCTCAGCTTAGCTGCTGTTCCAAATTGATTTTCCAGGCGATACGCATAAATACAATGTCAGTTTAGAAGTGAAGGTATTGCTTTATATTTTGAAACCTATTGGCTAGCTGAAATGTTATATGTCATTCAGTCCTTTTACGAAACAGAAGAGCTTGATTTCCCACTCATCTATATTAGCGACAGGAAACTGAACGGTCATAAATATGTAATTAGGGTTTTTTCCCTTTTCCCGAGAACAAAGACCGTTCTAGGGTTCTTGTAAAATGAGGAGCGGATGGCAATGGAGCGTTCACAATTGAAGTCAAATTTCGCTCTAATCCTGGGTTATCTTAATCCTGTTTTCAACAACCGCGCCCTAGTCAGTTAAAAACTTTTCAATAAACGAAATTTCGTTTCGCTTACACGAAATTTTAGTTCGTCAAACCGAAATATCGCTTAACACGAACCGAAATTTAGTTAATGACGCCAAATTTAAGGAAGCTTTGTCGAAATTTTGCAACGACATTTCGGTTTATTGCGCAAACTTGCGTTTCGATTTATCACCTAGCTTCCGAAATTTCGCAGGGAGTAGAAAAATAGATGCGCCGAAATTTCGCCGAATTTTCGTCTGAAACGAAAGTTCGCAATTTGTTAGCCGAAATTCGCGAATTTCGCCGAATTTCGGCAAAGTTCGGTCTCATTTCTTTGGCACAGCAGGCCTGTAGCCAGGTTTTTTTACGGGGAGGTGCGATCCAAGGAGGAGGAGGACCAAACGAGACCAGAGGAGCAAGTCTCTGGGGTTGGGTGGGAGGGGGGTAGTGAATTAGGGTCTGAGTCCCTGAGACTGTATTGCGAACGTTTTGCCGGAAAACATGGATATTTCTCAAAATCTGAAACTTCAAAATTGGTTTTATATTCGCAAGGAGACAACATTTTTATTATCTGTTAGACGATAGATGTGCATAAGAGCCAGTGAAGAGAGCCTCTTTTGTGCCGCGAGTATTACTTTTTTGGCACAGAAAATAGAAGATATTTTAAACTACGAACAAAGACAGCGGGCTACTCAAAAAACCAACAACGCTTATCTTCATCTCCTTCAAGCACAAGTGGATCCGAGATCCACCCTTTGTAATTGACTGTTAAACAGACAATTCGAAAACAAGAATTCCCAATCCCTGAAACGGCCTGATAAATGCGTCAAGTCAGAAACGGTTGTACCGCTGTCGCCACAAAACGAAAACAAAGTTAAAAGTAATGTTTCTCCCTGGCTGGCAACTGTCACGACAATAACTGCAAATGGAGGAATAATAACATCATCGGGCTCCAGTCTTCACAGGGGCACCCAACAAGAATATAGTTTAAAACCACTTAAATTAAACATAGCATTGTTGAACGTATTTTTAATTAGTGTCTACATGGTAGATATAGGCATATGTTTATCCCCTAAAAATGTTTCATCTGTTCGGAATCCCTAGCTGAAGGTCTAGTGATCCGAAAATTATAGGGATCAAAACTTACCTTTACGAAAATTTCAGCGAGAAAAAAAAAAGCTCCCGAAAATTCTAGGTGACCTTTTTAGGGTAAAAATCCGTTAAAAATGGGCAATTATACCATTTTTTAGATGTTCGAAAATCCTAGGAGACTGAGAGGCAAGCAAGAAATTTTACAAAAAATGTTCCGAAAATTCCAGATCTTAAGAGCCAATGTCTGTAATTTTCGAGAATCGGTTGACAGTCGTGAATTTTTGAATTTCTTCATATTTTGCTCAAATAATCTCTATAGTACACTAATTTCAAAAATCACGTTAAAACTTGTATCAGCTTTTTATTTTTTCAGGAATCAGGCAAAGTTTGAGAAACTCTAAATCGGCGCTCTTTCGAGTATGAAATGAGCGAAAATGGAGCATTTTCTTCGCGCTCGTACATAAAAACAGAATAATATCTCTACATGAAATCAAGTCACAAAACAGACACATATTTTTACTTTATAATTCAGCAGTTAACTTTAAATAAACCGTTTAAATGTGACTGTACCGGCCCGAAGAAGAAACACGGTTTCAGCACTTTTCAAAAATGGCAAATTTGACCTAACTTCACCATCGTAAAAACCCAGTTGGTACACGGAATTTCAATACGAAACAAGAACTGTATTGAAGCATATCCTTTGCTGTTGTTTGTGTTAAAATGTTTCTGGCGGCATTCCAAATGCGCACCGTCGAGAGACCAAAACCTGAAGGGTATTTTGACACCAGGAAAGCGAGTGCAACAAGCAAGTTTCAACGCTTGGCATATTAATCCTTCGCAAACCTAAGTTACTTCGACATTTAAATCCTAGTCAGAGTTGTAACGGTTTCAGATTATATTTCGGCGTTTCTGTTCGGTTTAACATGATTCCTTTCAACTGATTTTTGCGATAAACCATAATGAAGAGACGAATACGCAGTTCAAATCACAGTTAGTAGAGGGAATATTGTCGAAATACCCGCTTGCTATAGTTTTAATCGTATTGAAACCTTAATATCAGAAAAGTCATTTACTTACCTGAATTTGAATGCTAGACGAGGTCACAGTACCGCTAACTAAATTCTGCATCACGGCAGAATCGAAGTTAAGTTTGTATATGTTTTCAATCTGTCAACACGAGGGAAGATGACATTCCGGAAGTACGTGACGCGTAACGCGCCGGAAAAGAAATTCCTGGTATAAGTGTTTTACGGTTCAAGTCTTTGCAGGGGCGGATCCAGGGGGAGGGTGCAGGGGGTGCGCACCCCCCCTGGGATGACTTGCGGCCGCTTTCTAATTAACATGATTAACACTGTGCAGTCGCTTGACAGACATACAAAATCTGCTCTATCGTTTGATGTGTATTCTCAGCAGTTCACATTATGTTATGTCCTAGTCAAAAGCCCTCTTCTTCGTATTCGCTTTTAAAATTTTTTACGTCTTCAATCAGTTAGTGGTGCACCCCCTCCTAAGAAAAATCCTGGATCCGCCCCTGCTTTGTTGCTTGTTCGTATACCATCTCGCACATATTCAAACTTGGTTTGTGGCGCCTGTGGCCCCAGTAATGCTGAATGTATTGCGATCATAGAAAAGATGTCGTGAGTCACTCCTGACTTGTTAGTCACGTGAGTATGTAAGGCAATAACCAAACATCGACCCGACCATGCTAATGATAAAAGTAAGGTTTTCTGCATTTACGTTAGGTGATCTTTGTTTGATCCACAAAATTGGCGCATGAAAATATGAGTTTTTCCTCACCACCTCTAACTGTTTGGTTCCGGGTAGCGGTGCATCAAATCACGTGGTACCGTTCTAGATCAACCTACTGGCTGCTCATAGAGGGGTCCATAAAGGCACATTGATTGATGACTCTGTATGGCCTGAACTGAAAATGATATACGCAGACGTTTTCTGAGCGACGAATGTGCAGCTTTTACACTCCTCTTTCCTTTCGAAAATAGACAAGCACGCGAGCGAAGCGAGCGCGCGAGACAGAGCCCCTTGCTCTACTGGTCAATAAATCCCCCGCGGCTTTTATTTTCATACGCAAAATCGACGATCTCCAAAGGGAAAATAGATCGACGATCTCTAATGAAAAAGTAGAGGGTCTGTGAACAGGCTACGAAGGTGCTTGCTATTATT